CAGCCCTCCTGTGTCTTAGTGTTTGAGAGGGAAAAATAACCCTTCCTATGACCAAAAAAATAAAATAATAGTAAAGGATACTCCCAGGCTGTTTATTTATTTATTCACCAAATAGTCATTAAGAATCTACTATGTGCAAAATACTGGAGACACAGAGACAAGCCGTTTGGTGCTAGGATATAGGTCAGGCTAAACAAGGGGTTGCAGGGTGTATGTGAGACACAGAGAGAGAGAGGAAACTGAGGCAGGCCTAGTAACTGCTCACACTCTGTAAATCACAGCCATATCAGGGAAGAGGCCAAGATGACAATGCTTTATAGGTAAAAACAAGAGTAAGATTTGAATTGCCCCTAAGACAGACTCCCATGAGCCAAGATAGCAGGTGGCGCCCTGAGCTGATACAAAGTAGATGTGGGATAGTGAAGAATTTGAGCGGAGGAGGGGGAATGACTCATCGGGCCCACAGAGCTGCTGGAAGACAGGCTGCAGGCTTCATTTACTTTAAAAGACAGTCCTACCCAGACCTTGGGCCCAGGGATCTTTTATTAAGGTCTATCTAGATTCTAAGTCTTAGAAGAACAACTTGCCGAGGGAGTTGTTCTGCAATCAGTGCTACCAGGTGCTTCTTTGGGGAGAGAGGTCATCTTGATCACAAAGTGCATCTTCTTCACAAACAGCACTTGGAAAAGCAGCAGTTCAAGATGACCTCTCATCCCAAAGAAGCACCTGTAGCATTTATTCCTGTTTTCCTTCCGAATTTTAAAATAAACTTCATTGTGTGAGTCAGAAATGAAAAAAATAAGCTAACATTTAATAAGTATCTGGCACCGATCTGGCACCCCTGCTGCCTTTCTCTGTTACATCATTTGCAAGATTGCAATTGACCAGGAGTCAGCCCTCTGTAAACAGTGATAACCACGTTTCCCCACCCTAGACTGTGTGATCAAGAGCAGAGTCCAGCCGGGCGTGGTGGCTTATGCCTGTAATCCCAGCACTTTGGAAGGCTGAGGCAGGCAGATCATTTGAGGTCAGGAGTTTGAGACTAGCCTGGCCAACATGATGAAACCCTGTATCTACTAAAAATACAAAAATTAGCCAGGTTTGGTGGCTCATGCCTGTAGTCCCAGCTACTCGAGAGGCTGAGGCAGAAGAATCACTTGAACCTGGGAGGCGGAGGTTGCAGTGAGCTGAGATCATGGCACTGTACTCCAGGTTGGGCGACAGAGTATGGCTCTGTCTCAAAAAAAAAAAAGAGAGAGAAACAGTGAAGAGTCGGGGCCCAGATTTAAATCTATCCATTAGCAGCTGGGCAAGTTACCTTCTCTGAAACTATTTCTTCATCTGTGAAATGGGATGATAATGTGAAACTCCACGGATTGGGGAGGCATTTGTGGAATAATCATATTCAGGAAATCCAGCACATCCAATACAATTCTGGGCACTAGCTAGGTAACCAGTAATGTTTCATTCTTCTCCCTCGGTCCATCCTCCTTCCCAGCAAACACACACGCTCCGCTCCTCGGGGACCACACGCAGCATCTGGGAGCAGTGAAGCACGGGATTTAGAATCAGAGAACGAAGATAGAGCTTTGCTTTGCCACTTCCCAGCTGAGTGGCATCGGGCAAGTGGTTTTGCCTCTCTGAGCCCAGGGTTTCTCATCTGTAACATGGGAATTGTGTACCTCGCCCCTCCTCACAGCATTGCTCAACAGAGAGAGAGCTTCAAATGGGCAATGGTAACAATAATCTAAAGGATTTTTTTTTTTTTTTTTTTTGAGACCAAGTTTTACTCTTGTCACCCAGGCTGGAGTGCAATGGCGTGATCTCGGCTCACTGCAACCTCCACCTCTTGGGTTCAAGTGATTCTCCTGCCTCTGCCTCCTGAGTAGCTGGGATTACAGGTGCGCCACCACATCCGGCTAATTTTTTGTATTTTTAGCAGAGACAGGGGTTCACCATGTTGACCAGGCTGGTCTCAAACTCCCGACCTCAGGTGATCCACCCATCTCGGCCTCCCAAAGTGCTGGGATTACAGGCATGAGCCACCGCACCCAGCCTAAAAGGATTTTTGAGGGGAATTTTCTAGACTGGTTGGTTGCCTCTATTTCTCTCCCATGAGAGGAAGGACTCCCGGGACTGAAAACACAGTCCTCTTTGTAGACGTTCCAGATTTTCTACCTGGAACATCTGGTATGCAAATGAGTGGCATGTTAGCAATTGTACAAGAACGCACCAAAGCAGAATCTGAACACACAGAATTCTGGCCTGTTCAGACGCGAAGTGGAATCTAAGATGGGAAGAAGGATAACTTTTGTCGTCGTCGTTACGTGGTTTCAGAAGAGTTTCCTTTTCCCCAACTCTAACGTGGGAGAAAGGGGAAGTACAGAAGAGAGAATCTTTCACATGTGCCTATCTCTGCTCTAAAATTCCACATTTTCTGAATCTCTGGGGATACATCCTACCTCCTTTCCCATGAGTGAGGTCCCTATCGCGTGTGTCCACAATGAAGAAAAGATGGTGGGGTGACCTCTCAAGGCTGGTCACCAATCCCCAGGCTAAAGAATTGCTTCCCACCCCTCTGATAACAATTGATGGTGCCTCTGAAGACTCTTGTGATTTCAACAGGGTGACACGTCTGTTTAACTGATGGCTACTGTTCTTACAAGAGATTGGTAAAATAAGATTGGAAAACCCTAACCAGGAGCCTCAGATACAAAAGAAAACTAAAAGGCCGGGCACAGTGGCTCACACCTATAATCCCAGCACTTCGGGAGGCCAAAGCAGGCAGATCACTTGAGGTCAGGAGTTCAAGACCAGCCTGGGCAACATGGTGAAACCCCATCCCTACTAAAAATACAAAAATTACCCAGGTGTGGTGGTGGGCGCCTGTAATCCAAGCTACTTGGGAGCCTGAAGCAGGAGAATCGCTTAAATCCAGGAGGCAGAAGTTACAGTGAGCCAAGATCATCCCACTGCACTCCAGCCTGGGCGACAGAGCGAGACTCTGTCTCAAAAAAAAAGAAAAGAAAAGAAAAAGAAAATAAAAGCATGAGGGATCATCTGCCAAACTGAGTCCTTTTCCCATCAGAACCCACAAGCTTCAGCCTAAGCAATCTCAAAGTGTGGTTCCAAGACCAGCTGCATTAGCATCACCCAGGAACTCTCAATACTCACATTCTCAGCCACCCAGACCTGCTAAATAAGAAACTCCGGAGGAGCAGCCTCGCAAGTAATTTTGATACATGCTCCCAGGTAGGTTCAGAACCACTAAAGTAACAAACCATGCATTTTAAAGCATAAAGTCCTCATCTCGGCCAGACATGGTAGCTAATGCCTGTAATCCCAGCACTTTGGGAGGCCAAGGCAGGAGGATTGCTTGAGCCCAGGAGTTCGAGACCAGCCTAGGCAACATAGGGAGACCCCCTCCCCCATCTCTATTTTTTAAATACATATATATAATTTTTTTAAAAAATCCTCATCTCTTCAAAGTCCACTGGCAGTTGTGGAATGGTATGTTAAGCCACTGCCTGGGTCCAGCCCAGGTTTTATTAATTCCCAGCTGTGGGACCCTGGGCAAGTTACTGAATCTCTCTCAGCCCATTTCTTTGCCTATAACATGGAGATCATACCTACTGATCCAGTTGTCCTGAGTTTAGAAATAACAGTAGTATAGGCTGGACCCCAGAAAGATAGTGGTGACTACATTTGGTGGATGGTGACGGAGCTCAGAGCATGCCACCACAGCGTATGCTGCTCTGGCATATTGAGTATTTGAGTTAAACGTACTTGAAAAATAGCCGACGCAAAAAGCCCACTCTTGATCCTCTTTAAAATAAAACACAAAAAACAGGAGATGAGGCCAGACATGATAGCTCACACCCTGTAATCCCAGTACTGTGGGAGGCCAAGTGGTGGACTGCTTGAGCCTGGGAGTTCAAAACCAGCCTGAGCAACTTGGTAAAGCCCCGTCTCTACAAAAAAAATACAACAGTTGGCCGGGCGCGATAGCTCACACCTGTAATCCCAGCACTTTGGGAGGCCGAGGCAGGCGGCTCACTTGAGGTCAAGAGTTCGAGACCAGCCTGGCCAACGTAGTGAAACGTCATCTCTACTAAAAATATCTTTAAAAATTAGCTGAGCATGCTGGCCTGCGACTGTAGTCCCAGCTACTGGGGGAAGCAGGAGAATGGCTTGAATCCAGGAGGCGGAGGTTGCAGGGAGCCAAGATCCCCCACTGCTCTCCAGCCTGGGCAACTGAGGGAGATTCCATGTCAAAAAAACACAGTGTTTAGGTTCTGCCAGTTCTCATGGTCTTCATCTCCTTATGAGTGTTTCCACGTCACGTAAAACTCGTATTTGTGTTCCCTTCATCTGTCTTATGCCACATTAATTCTCGAGCCCATCCAAAGACCTAGGAGGACAGAGGGAAAGTGCCCCGGCCTTTGTCACACTTCTGTGGACACAGTCCAGTCCTTTAAATCCTCTCGAGTCTCGTGTTCGTGATCAAGGGCGCAAAGAAAGCCCAGTGAACCCCGTCCTGCTCCCCAGGGCACCCCGCAGGCCCGCGACGCCCCGCCCAGGCCGCGGCCCGAGGCCAGGTGGGCTTCCCGAGGCCCGGCCGCGGGGCCTCAGAGGCCAGCCGGGCCGACCCCTCCGGCCCTCCCGGGGAGCGGGGCCCGGGGAAGGCCGCGCCCAAGGTCGCCGCGCGAGACGCCGGCAGAGCCCGGCCCCAGCTGGATCCACGCGCTCAGTCCCCGCGGCCGCCCCCGGCCCAGGCCACCGGGCGCCGGGATCACGCCGCTCGCCCCACCGCCCGCCCCGACGGCGCTTCCCAGGCCCCGCACCCTCGCCGCGCGCGACCCGGGCGCCCGCCCCTTCCCGCCGGGGGCGGAGTCGCCGCCGCTCGGGGTCCCCGTCCCCGCCTCCGAGGCCCGCGCGCGCCCCCAGCACTTCCGGCCGCGGGAGCCCGCGCGCGTGCGCGGCAGCGTCGCGCGTGCGCGGCAGCGTCTCCCGCGCGCAGGCCGCCCCCTGCCGGGCCCCGGGCGCGCTGCAGCCCCTCTTCCCGCCGGGGGCGGAGTCGCCGCCGCTCCGGGCCCCGTCCCCGCCCCCCGACCCCGCGCGCCTCCTCCGGGCGAGCTGCGGGGCGCGGCGCCGTGGGCAGCTGCCAGCCGCCGGGCCGGCGAGGGCCGCGAGTGCGGGGCGCGGGCTCCGGGTCCCGCGGCCGCTGATGGGAGGCGGAGCCCGCGCGGGCGAGCGGCGGCGCGGCGGCCACCATGGGGAACAAGCAGACCATCTTCACCGAGGAGCAGCTGGACAACTACCAGGTGAGCCCGGCGCGCCCGGCCCCCAGCGCGGGCCCCGCCGCCCCTCCCTCCTCCCGGCCGCCGGCCGAGGCCTCCTGAGAGCCTGCTCTCCGGGTTCGAGCCCTGCCTCTGCCTTCAGCGCGCCGCGTGACCTTGGGCCGGTGACTTTCCTGCGCCGTGCCTCAGTTTCCCCACCGGTGGCATGAGAGCTCTTTTCAGTTGGCAGAGCCTCTCAGGCGCGCCTCGCTCCAGCTACCCCGGCTTCTACTGTCACCCTAGGCAGCACCCAAACCCCTCCCCAGCCACCCACCTCAGCGCCTACCCTGACCCGGGAGAGGGACTCAGTACACTCGTCTGGATGGAGGAGCGCAGTCCCTGGAAGGATCCCAGGAGAGCAAGTCTCTATAAAGCAAAAATGAGAGCTGGGTCCTGTCCGGGCTAGGGGTGGGGTGCATCGGTGCACTCATGCAGCCTTCAGCTGGGACTGTCTTATTCATCTGCTGGGGCCTCTCCTTCTGACCCCAGCATGGAGGTCACTGGAGCAAGGCAGGCCTTCCAGGGCCACCTCTCCCAGCTCCCTTAGGCCCTCAGCGGCCTCCTCCTTAGACCTTTCTAGGTTTTCCTGCCTCCAGAGCCATCTCTCCAGATCTGGAATCCCGATGCTGTCCCACCCACGTAAAAACTTCACTGTGGTGGCGGAATGAAGCCCAACCCTTTGGCTTACCCAGAGCTCTGGGTTGTTGTCCAGCTCACCTCCGCATCCTAGTCTCCCCAGACACTGGGGAGGCAGTCCTGGGGAGATGAGGGGCAGTCCTGGCGAGATGAGGGGCTGTCCTGGCGAGATGAGAGGCAGGCGGGCTACCTGGAGGCAGAGCTGCCCTCTGCATGGCAGCTGCCTCAAAACCATTTGCAGTTGCTCCAACTCCCAAGGCGCATTCCTCCCTCCCTCTCTCCCTCTGCCCGTGCCATTTCCTGGGCCTGGATGCTGCACCCCGCCCCCTGCCCCAGATGATCTCTCTAACCCTTCAAGACCCACATTCCCCAGTCTGTGTAACCGTGCTTTCTTTGGCTGTGAAGGACAGCAGGCCTGAAGTGTGGGTCCTCTGATGTGGGTGAAGGTAAAACAAAGGTCCCTTCTCCTCCTAGAAGCCCTAGTTGTCAGTAATGGATTTCTCAGGTCCCCAGGTGAGGCCCTGGGAAGAGGGGAGCCACATTTATGGAGCACCTGTTGTATACCAAGCACAGTAATTGATACCATCTGTGCATCCACTCAATCATCACAGTGAGGTGGATGATTAGCCCATTTTACAGAAGTGTAAACAGAGGCTGAGGAGCCATTCAGGGCTCACGCAGGATTTTGAATCTTGACTCCCAGGCTCACTTCTTCAGTTGCGAGTGGGCTGGACTGGGCCACGTGTGCTCTTTGTCCCCAAGACACTCATGCTCAGACACTCAGAGACAGACTCCCAGTGCGATAGAGGCAGGTGGTGGAGTGTGTTCTCGGGAAGGGCACTGGTGGGCAGTGGGAGGCCAGCGGAGAAGGGGGGCAGAGTCCAGAAACGATGCCGCAGTTGAGCAGGCCTTGGGAAGACAGGCAGAGTTGTGCCTGGTGAGACCCAGAGGAGGCATTCCTGGTGGAGGGGACAGCTTGGGTAAAGGCTTGGGAGTGGGCAGGGGCAAGCAGGTAAGCCGTGCTCGGAATGAAGAGTAGCTTCATGGGGTGGGGAGCCTGGCATTGGGTTACCCATCGGAGCCAGTCCCAGTGTTGGGTTCTGATCCTTTGCCAGAGCCTAGCTAGACCCCGCCAGGCGTGCTGGGAGAAATGAGAGCTGTGAAACCCGAGAGCCCCACATCTCCTTCCCTCTGGCTCTCCAGCCAGCCTGTGGCAGCCGGGGCTGAGTGCGGGTGAGCCTGAGTTACAGCACGCCCTCCCCCAAGTAACCCCTAGGGTTTCTTGGGACCTCCCAGCCTGGCAGTCTAACCTTTCCCAGGCAGGGCGCACCCTCCTGGTTCCCGGTGCTGGTGATTCCCAACATTCAAGCTTCTCCCCAGGCCACTCCTCTTCATTGTACGGCCATCCCCCAGACCCCTTAAACTCCAAAACAGGGCTCACAGCCTCTCCAGCACCCACCGCTGCTCCTCCCGCCATTCACACTCTTCGCTGTCCTACAACCCATGTTTTCAGTGAAGAACAGGCCTGTGACTCAGCCTCTTGTAGCTCACCTGGAGGTCACCTCCTCCGTCCGCACAGCGGGGCCCTGGGCTGGGCCTGCTCAGTCTCACGCAAACTGGAGGTCTGACTGCTCCCTTTCACGCCCGTCCTGCCTGTCCCCCTCCAGCCACCCACGCTCCTGTGCTGCGGCCTCTCAGCTCTCCTCTCACTCTTCCTTCGTCTCTTTTTTCTTCCTTTCTTTTCCTTTCTTTCTTTCTTTTTTTTTTTTTGAGATAGAATATTGCTCTCTCTGTCACCCAGGCTAGAGTGCAGAGGCGCGATCTCAGCTCACTGCGACCTCTGCCTCCCAGTTCCACCTCCTGGGTTCAAGCAATTCTTCCTGTCTCAGTCTCCCAAGTAGCTGGAAAGACAGGTGCCCGCCACCACACCCAGCTAATTTTTGTATTTTTTTTTTTTTAAGCCTATGGCACCTGGTATTCCCAGGCAGTCTCTCATCTGAGTACTAACCAAGCCCGACCCTGCTTAGTTTCTGAGATCAGATGAGATCGGGCGCGCTCAGGGTGGTATGGCCATACGCAATTTTTGTGTTTTTAGTAGAGACAGCGTTTTGCCATGTTGGCTAGGCTGGTCTCAAACCCCTGACCTCAGGTGATCCACCCGCCTTGGCTTCCCAGAGTGCTGGGATGACGGGCGTGAGCCACTGCACGTGGCCTCCAGCCTCATTTCTTACTCCCTTTCCCTTGGACCCCAAGTTCCAGGCACACTGAAGGGCTGCTGGCCAAGCCCTCCCTCCCCCCTGCCCAGTTCTCCTGCTGCTCTCCCCGCTCCTCTGCTAACCTAGTCCGGCCCATCTTTCCGTCCGGGGCAGGCCTCACCTCTTTGGAAGGGACTCCCTGACTCCCCCATTCAGCTGGGAGTACTCAGGGAGCCTGACACAGTCACATCTCCAGCTCCTCCTGTAGCCACAGAACGGTCTATACTGGGCACCGCACTGTGTACACTCCGTGTCCCTTCTCATGTGGCCCCTGTCCAGGCACGAAAGGGATGCTTAGAGGATGTTGTAAAGTGAATGGACAAATATTTGTCAAGGTATGGCTCTAGGAGGACAAAGAACTCCAGACAAGAATTCTCAAGTCCTAGATTCAAGTCAGCCGGGCAGTGGATGTTGCGGGCCTTAGCAAGCCACTGTTCCCTTCTGGGCCTCAGAGTCCCCACCTCTAAAATGGGAACAACTCATGTCACTGGGCTCTTGTGGAGATTAACCGAGATCACCCTGGAGACTGACTTTGGGCCATGTGATGGTCACCTGGGCAGTGCTGAGGCCTGAGCTGGCCGAGCTGGGTGGAGAGTCACTTCCATTACAGCCGGGACTGGGACGGCCCATGGCTCAGCTCCTGACCGCTGGCACAGGCAGACCAGGCGTGTTAAGAGATGGGAGGCAGGCAGGCTGTCCGGAACAAGTCACCCGTGAGTTGAGCTCTGGAGAAAGGAAAGGATTTGCACAGCCCGCGGGAAGAGGGGAGGGCACTCCGGGTGGGGAATAGGATGAGCATAGGCTTGGAGGCAGAACTCCAGCCTTGGCTGGGGAAGCCTCTGGGCTTCTACTGTCAAAGCTCAGCCTGTCTGTTTTCTGCTGCCAAAGTTCTGAGGACCCATCATTCCTGGGTTAGACCCCCTCGCTCCTTCCCTCCTTCCGCTCCTCATGACCCTGACCTGAGCTGGGACCTTTGCCTGAAGACCTGTCCCTGTGTCCCTGTGTACTGTCAGGAGCCAGGCAGTGATGGGGTGTGTGCTCTCTGGAAGTATAAGAAAGGGTTCCTTCAGACACGGGCTCCCAGGGCAGCTGAGGGTGTAGTGGTGGGCAGGGTCTTTGGCGACTCCAGAGAAGGGAAAGACAGCAGAGCTACCGAGACTGGGGAGACAGACGCCTTTGGGACCTTGGGTGGTGGATGGAGTGTCGCACTGTATCCTATCAGCTGGGGCCTCAGACTTCCTGCACCTTATCACGTTTGCTTTTCACATGTCCCCTTCAGAGAGACATCATTTCTACTTTACAGATGGAGAAACTGAGGCTCAGAAAGGAGAGTGACGTGCCTGAGGGTCTGAAGCTAGACTAGAATTTGACTCTGACTACCAAACCTTTTCCCTTGCCACACTGCCAGGCCACCCTGAGCCCCGAGAAGATTTTAAGGACACCTGCCATATTCACCCTCTGTGCACTGCCTCCCTTGGGTGAGTCCTAGGGAAACAAGGCAACAGAAGAAACAGTAAAACATCAGCTGATGAGCAGATTCATGGCAGCTTCATCATTGATGTTGAAACCAAGAAACGGGTGTTACTAAATGTTCAGAAAGAGAAGAAAGGTTAAGGCCAGGCAGGGGCTATGCCCTCCCTGAGATACTCTGCAGCCACTGAAATAACGTAACTGCTGTGGAAAAGTCTGGTCCCTCGTCCCACAAGCCTGTATTAAGCACCTGCTGTGTATGGGCGTAGGAATACATAGCAGATGCTGTGACTCCACATGGATTGGCTGGTGTACAGTGGTCACGGGTGGACGGCAGTTCTGTTTATACTCGGCAGTGGTCAAGAAACACAGAGGATCTTTTCCTGCCTCTGCTTCCTTGCCGGGGGGTGGGGGGGCAAGCTCTACTCCCATTCAAAAGAAAAAAAGAAGGCCAGGCACAGTGGCTCATGCCTGTAATCGCAGCACTATGGGGGGCCGAGGCGGGTAGATCACCTGAGGTCGGGAGTTCGGGACCAGCCTGACCAATATGGTGAAACCCCGTCTCTACTAAAAATACAAAAATTAGCCAGGCGTAGTGGCGCGTGCCTATCATCCCAGCTACTCGGAAGGCTGAGACAGGAGAATCACTTGAACTCAGGAGGTGGAGGTTGCAATGAGCTGAGATCATGCCACTGTACTGCAGCCTTGGTGATAGACTGAGACTCTGTCTCAAAAGAAAAAAAAGGTAGCAGGGGTGGGGCGGGTAGAAAGGAAAGCACAGATGCCTGCGTTCCTCTCCCAGCCCTCCCGGGCTGTGTGTGTGTAACAGGGCAAGCTATTCAACTTCGCTAAGTCTCAAGTTGCCCATCTTTAGAACAGAGACATAAGGCCCACCCCCATCGGCTAATGATAAGGATTAAACAAAATTGGATATTCAGAGTCCCAGGTGTGTGGTACATCATGTACTGGCTGGGATATGGTTTTCAGCCTGGGCTGCACGTTGGAACCACCTGAGTGGCTTTGAAAATCACTGATGGTTGGGCTGGGCGCAGTGGCTCACGCCTGTAATCCCAGCACTTTGAGGGCTGAGGCGGGTGGATCACAAGGTCAAGAGATCGAGACCATCCTGGTCAACATGATGAAACCCCATCTCTACTAAAAATACAAAACATTAGCTGGGCATGGTGGCGCATGCCTGTAGTCACAGCTACTCAGGAGGCTGAGGCAGGAGAATTGCCTGAACCCAGGAGGCGGAGGTTGTGGTGAGCCGAGATCGCGCCATTGCACTCCACCCTGGGTAACGAGTGAAACTCCATCTCAAAAAAAAAAAAAAAAAAAAAAAGAAAGAAAAAGGAAAATCAGTGATGCCTGGATCCACCCTTGGGGATTTCTCTATGATTTGTCTGTGGTCTGCTGAGGGGTGGGGAGCACAGGTAGCTGAAATAGACCCGCCAGGTGATTCTGCTCTAGAGCAGAAGTCCTCACACTTCACTATGCGTCAGCATCACTGGGAGGGTTTTTTAAAATGCAGATCCCTGGACCTCACCCATAGAGTTTCTGATCTGGGAGAGCTGGAGTGGAGCCTGAGAATCTGCATTACCACCAGGTTCCCAGTGAGGCTGATGCTGCTGGTCCAGGAGCCATACCCGGAGGACCATTGATGGAGGGAGGTATAGGGAATTGTGATGGGAAGCAGGGTTATATGGAAGCATTGGCATCTTTTGCCAGTAGAACCCTTGAGTCAGGACCTGGGAAGTTCCTTTCCAACCCATGGGATAGGAGAGAGGCGAGGGGAGGGGAGGGAGGACAGATCAGCGGGAAGAGAGCAGGAGCTGGGGCTTCCCCCCATTGCCAGTTCTGCTGACGGCCTCCTCCGGGCTAGGTGAGGAGAGCCCTGGCCCTTTCACTGGGCACCTTAGACCATGGAAACAGCCCTGGGGTGGAGGGAAGTCCACCTTCTGCTCCGCGTTTCTGGGGTTTGCTGAGAAATCAGTCCACCCTGTCTCCAGCCTGTCTTTGCCTGAGGCCTGCTAAGTCGGGAGTTTTCTGCCTGTGCTGGCTGAGGAGTGGAGGCGCTGCTTCCCCGGCCTGAGCCTTTCTGCGCTCCTACAGAGGAACCATTGCCCAAAGCAAAGCCGAGACCCTCAGGAGAACCCCCTGTGTTTCCAAGAAGGCAGCATGGATCCTAAGTGTAACTCCCAGGGAGCAGCAGGTGGTTTAGGACACACTTGTTGGGCCAAATGGGGCCTGGAAATTCCCACCAGCTCTCCCTGCTTCAGCTCCCTGAGAGCACCCGGTGGAAACCCCAGATGTTGCATGCACCTTTCGGGCGTTCTCTCTTGGTCTTCTCAGTGCACAATTCAATTGCCCTGATGTCCAGCGGCTTCAGGTCTCACGCAGGGCAAGCCTGGCTGTTTGCTGGCCTGAGTTTCAGCCATTCGCTCCTCATCAGAGCTGGCTCTGGTCACTTACGGCCCCAGGAGGTCCTGCGGGACCCGGGCTTTGCAGACCTAAGAGGCCTTCTCCCTTCAGGCCGTAGCAGGGGACAAAGGCGGAGGAGCTAAGCAGCAGGCGAGAAGCAGAAAAGCCCTTCCCGGTTCGTCATTTTACCAGGGGCCGGGTCCTTTTCCCCTTCGTCCTTCTGACCGTGGCCTGCCAGTGTGGTCATTGTCACTGACTGCCAGTGGGTGATACTCACCTTGGGCAGGTCACGCTGTGGACAGAGGCAGGTCGTGTAGACAAAGACGGGACCCGTCTGAGATGAGTTAGTCATCCGAATGGCCCTAGGAGCCAAGTGCTGCCCCCACCCGGAGGTCCCCAGCAGCCCCTACCCTCACCTCTACCACAGACCCTACCTGGCTCCTCCCTGCCCACCTTTCCCTGCCCCATGTCCCCCGCGTCTTCACTTCCTTCCCTGGGTGACCTCATCTCTTTCTGCCTTCAGAACACCAGGCCCATACTGATGCTTCCCCAGCCTGTGTGCCTGGAACTGTCAGTCTCTGAACCTGGGGCTGCACAACCCGCCTAGCACCGTGCTCACTAATGCAGCGAGGCTGGCACCCCGTGCAGCCACACGAGGTGGCCCTGTGGCTCCTCATTCGGAGCTGTCTCCCAGCTGCCTGCCTGTCATCCCCCAGTGTATCCCGCTGGCATGCAAATGAGCCACGCCTACCTGTGAGCACTCCATCTCCCTCCTAAATGAGTACCCCGAAGTGCGCTGCAGCCCCCCACCACGCACTAAGCTCCCTAGGCCTAGCCCGGGATGGACAAAGGTTTGGGGAGGCGTTTTCTGTACCCACTAGAACCAGCTGTCCCTGGCAGGTGAGGGTGGGGTGGAGAGGGACAGTAGTGACTCTTCTGCACCCAGTCCAGGGCTGTCCCCTGGGAGGCCCTGTGACATCGAGGCCTCTGAGCAGGAGAGGAGACAGGAAGCCTCACACTGACCGTGTGTTTTCCTCCGACAGGACTGCACTTTTTTCAATAAGAAGGACATCCTCAAGTAAGTATGACTGTTCCTGCTGCCGGGACTGGGTCTGGGGCCGGGTGCGGCTGCGGCGCCCCGCATGGGCTGGCTGTGCCAGCTGGGGCTGAGGCGGAGCATCGGCCTCTGTCAGCAGCCGCGTTCAGGTCCCCACTCTGCCACTGGGCTGCTGGGTGGAGTTAAGGCTTCCCACTCCTCCCAGGGCCCGAGTCCCTGTCTGTTAGACTAGGGGTCCCTGAGGGCCCTCTGACTCCAGCTTTGATGTTCTTCCACTCCCGAGACCTCTGAAAGTTGAGGGCATGCCCATCACCCCTGTGCTGTTCATTGGGGTCTGCTTCTTCCCAGGGCAGCCCTTCTCCTTGGTGTCGGTGGGGGTGGGGGTAGATGGGATAGGAAGGATGAAGGGGACTGGCAGCCTCAGAACCCCAGAAGCAGATGGTGAGCGGGAATCACTGAATACCCAGAAACCCGCCCCACGGGCCTCGCTGGACCCCTCTGCCTGGGCTATCAGGTGGCACTAAAAGCCAGCAAAGTCCCAGGATCAGTTTCCCTGGAGATCGATGGTCAGGCTGGGAGCAGAGCCCACTGCAGCTTCCCAAGAGAACCGTGTGGCAGCCTGTCACTGCGCTAACCACTGCACATTCAGGCAGTGCCTCTCGGCTTTCCTCTCCACCCACGCTGCTGTTCTGACTTGTCTCCTGCGTGGGCAGGGGACACCCCACTTCCATCACCTTAGAGAGTCGGGGCAAGCGGCAAAGCCCCCCGGCCCGGCATCGGCAGCCCTGGGCTCTGCTTCCACTTCTCCGCTCTGTGGCCTTGGACAGCCATTTGGCCTTCCCTGAGCCTCCGTTTTCTGTAGTAAAGTGGGGATGGCGAAACTTACCCTTGCAGCATTGCAACACTGGGGTATAGTGTTTGATAAGTGGGCTTTGCTCTGTAGCTTGAGAGATGTCAGGGGCGAGGTCCCCATTTGGACAGGGTGGCTGTCGGTATTGGGATAACATGGCTGTCACCCCGGCCATTCTTGTGGCACCTCTTACCTTTCAGAGTTCTTGACATGGAGCCTCATTGAGCCTCACCAGGGAGCTTTGCATTCCCTGCTTTTGTAGATGCCAAGCCCAGCCTGCCTGTCTTCTGAGACCCATGGCCATTTTCATTCTGGCGACAAAAGCCCCTTGCCCCGGCCTTGGCACTGGCTCTCCCCACTCCCCAGAGTGTCCTCCTCTCCTCTGCCCGCAGCATTGCTATGTATACTTCCAGACCCAACTCCGGAGTCATCTCCTTTATAAGCACCCCCAACACCCTGCCACCCTAGTGTTCCCCCAGCTGCTCTAACAGAGTTCCTGGGCCCAGGTACCCAGCTCCCCACCAGACTTGCTATCAGGCAGGACTGACGGGGGCATGGCACCTGTTAGCCACAAGTGAGCCGATGGAGAGTGTGTGGCAGAAAGAGGGCCGGGTGCAGTGGCTCACGCCTGTAATCCCAGCACTTTGGGAGGCCAAGGTGGGTGGATCACAAGGTCAAGAGATCGAGACCATCCTGTTCAACATGGTGAAACCCCTTCTCTACTAAAAATACAAAAAAATTAGCTGGGCATGGTGGCGCGTGCCTGTAATCTCAGCTACTCAGGAGGCTGAGGCAGGAGAATTGCCTGAGCCCAGGAGGCGGAGGTTGCTGTGAGCCGAGATCGCGCCATTGCACTCCAGCCTGGGTAACAAGAGCGACACTCCGTCTCAAAAAAAAAAAAAAAAAAAAAAAAGACAGGATTGGCTGAGGGAGAACATTCCAGGCTGGGGAGCAGCACGGGTGAGAGACAGGCCAGCTTCTCCCGCTCCGCCTGCTACCCGCATCCTCCAGTGGTCTTACTGAGCTCAGCAAGGTTGCCTGTATGGGGAAGAGAAGAGAGGAGCTTGAAGGCCAGTCCAGGAATCAGATCCAATATGATGGGCTTTGGGGGTTGTGTTAGTCCGTTCTAACGCTGCTATAAAGAACTGCCCGAGACTGGGTAGTTTATAAAGGAAAGAGATTTAATTGAGTCACATAGCTGGGGAGGCCTCAGGAAACTTACAATCCTGGCAGAAGGAGAGGCAAATACGTCCTTCTTCACATGGTGGCAGGAAAGAGAAGTGCTGGGCAAAGGGGGAAAGGCCCCTTATAAAACCGTCAGCTATCGTGAGAACTCGCTCATCATCACGAGAACAGCACGGGGTAACCACCCCCGTGAGTCAGTTACCTCCCCCCAAGTCCCTGCCCTGCCACGTGGGGATTATGGGAACTACAATTCAAGATGAGATTTGGGTAGGGACACAGCAGACCATATCAAGGGTATCCCTGGCGTCCTGGAAGATGAGGGGTGCCAGGCAGGTGAGAGGGCTTGGGCAGGGGTGTCTTGGCTTCCCACAGCCCTGGCATGCCCACCTCTGCACACTTCGGCACCCCAGGTTCTAACAGCATCAGAGCAAAACCCGAGCCGGAGGCCCCGTCTGCAGCGTGGGGATGACGCACACGGGCCCCTGCGTCTGGGAGGCCTGGGTGACGGTGTTGTGAACACGGAAGGAGCTACCTGGAGGTCTGCTGCTCATCTGTCCACCCTCAGGGAAGGGTAGTAAGACAAGACAGGATTCCGGATTGCCTGTCTCTAGAGGGACCAGGCACGGCCACGATGGCTCCATTCCAGTTTCAGCCCCTTCGTTTTTCCGCAGCCTTCTCTGTGGCGAGGCCAGCGTGGCTGATCACCCCTGCAGGAGAGCCCTCTCAGGTCCGGGAGCCCAGAGCAAGGCCAGCGGCAGCGCCAGGCTGTCCAGCCCCCAGGCCTCTGCTGGTCTTCCCTGCTCCCAAGCGCCTTTCAGGGATGCTACCTCCTCACCCACACCGGGATGGTTTTCTTAGTAAGCTGCTCCCTGAGTACTGACCAGATGGCGAGGAGGAAACTTGAGAAGGAGGTTTTTCTTTGCAGGTTGGGGCCCAGCTCTCTGGCAGCTTTGGGGCAGTGATACCGAGTCACAGGCAGCCCGCCTCCAGTTCTCCTTCCCTCTGCTCTGCCCCCACGCACGCAGATCCAATTGCTGCCCAGGACACAGCCCCTCCCTTCCTCCACTGAGCCCGTGTGGGCAGCCCACCCCACTCAGTCACCTTGCTTTTTATAGGTGAGAGCTTGGCATTTGGACTTCCCTTGTCCCATAATTAGGCTGTGTTCCTTAATCAGCGGGACAGGAGTCCCTGTCTTCTTAGTGCACGCAGAGGCCCACCCAGCCAGCACCCCACGGTGTTTGCCTGTTTGTTATTTTATTGTTTATCTTCTCAAACTCTGAAAAGCTTTGTGTAACCTGTTTTAATGACTTACTACACATATACATAATGATTGCAGAAAAATTAGAAAATGAAGCCAGTCAACAGAAGACAAAAAATGTTAGCTATAAACCTATGACCCAGAAATCATGGCAGTTCATCTTTTTGTATAGATTATGCCAGTGTTTTCTTTCGTATGTGTTTATCAAAGTGAGATCGTGGTCAGGTACGGTGTGGCTCCTTTAATCCTAGCACTTTGAGAGGCCAAGGCAAGTGGATCATTTGACCTCAGGAGTTAATGATCAGGCTGGCCAATGTGGTGAGACCCCTGTCTCTCTAAAAAAAAAAAATACAAGCCAGGCGCAGTGGCTCACGCCTGTAATCCCAGCACTTTGGGAGGCCGAGGTGGGTGGATCACAAGGTCAAGAGATCGAGATCATCCCGGTCAACATGGTGAAACCCCGTCTCTTCTAAAAATACAAAAAAAATCAGCTGGGCATGGTGGCGCGTGCCTGTAATCCCAGCTCCTCAGGAGGCTGAGGCAGGAGAATTGCCTGAACCCAGGAGGCGGAGGTTGCGGTGAGCCGAGATCGCGCCATTGCACTCCAGCCTGGGTAACAAGAGCGAAACTCTGTCTCAAAAAAAAAAAAAAAAAGTTAGCGAGGAGTGGTGGTGTGCACCTGTAGTCCCAGCTACTTGGGAGGCTGAGGTGGGAGAATTTCTTGAGCTCAGGAGGTTGAGGTTGCAGTGAGTTGAGATTGCACCACTGGACTCCAGCCTGGGCAACAGAGCGAGAACTTGTCTCAAAAAAAAAAAAAAAAAGTCAGATGGTATTGTTTTGTAATATGCTTAAAATTGGTCGGGCAAGATGGCTCATGCCTGTAATCCCAGCACTTTGGGAGCTTGAGGCAGGTGGATCACAGGGTCAGAAGTTCAAGACCAGCCTGGCCAACATGGTAAAACCCTGTCTCTTCTAAAAATACAAAAATGAGCTGGGCATGGTGGCACACGCCTGTAATCCCAGCTACTCGGAAGGCTGAGGCAGGAGAACTGCTTGAACTGGGACTCGGGAGGCAGAGGTTGCAGTGAGCAGAGATTGCGCCACTGCACTCCAGCCTGGGCTACAGAGCAAGACTCTGCCTCAAAAAAAAAAAAAAAAAAAAAAGCTTAAAATTGCTTTTCCTTACGCAAGTTGTAAAATTAGGTAAGAAAGCTAAAGCAAATAGTATGGTGGATCCTCAAAAATAAAATCACCACATGATCTAGTAATTCTACTTCTGGGGACGTACCCAAAGGAATTGAAAGCAAAGTCTTGAAGAGACGTTTGTACACCCACGTTCATAGCAGCGTTATCCACAAAAGGTGGAAGCAATCCATCAGTAAAGGAACTGATGAACAAAATGTGATATGGACAGACAAAACATTATTCAGCCTTCAAAAGGAAGGAGAGTCTGACCCACACTACAACCTGGATGGACCTTAAGGACATTATGCACAGTGAAATAAGCAGTCACAAAAAGACGTACACTGTAGGGTTCCACTTACATGAGGTACCTAGAGTAGTCAGATTCCAAGAGACGGAAAGTCGAACAGTGGTTGCCAGGGGCTGGGAGGAGGAGGAATTGATTAGTAGAGAGCTTCAGTTTCGGAAGATGCAGAGAGTTCTGGAGGTGGGTCAGTGGTGGTGATGGTTATGTAATAATGTGAGCATACTTAATGCCACTGAACT